GTATGTTTGTACATAAAAATCTGTGCATTTTTAGCCAGCATGACTTCCAGAATATAAAGACTTACCGAATGAAAGCAGAATTTTGGGCAGTTGATGTCTCTGAAAAAAAAAAAAAAAATAAGAAAAATCAAGCCAACAGAGCACTCTCTTTTAAGCAAGTTTTCAATCCCTGATAACACCAAAGCTATCAAGGACTGGGGTTAAGCACTGTGTGACAGGGCAAGCTTCTAAAATGGGCAAGAGCAAGATGAATTGGCTAAGTCGGGTGTTTATTTATACAAACAAGAGGGCAGAACATAATTTAGTTGCATCAGGAATTTTTCACAGACATTAAAACTATAGCAAACATAACAGCGGGGATGCTTGCACAGCAGCACAGTGGGGAAGCTCACAGAGCGTCTGCCCACACTACGGCTGGCTGTAGCCAACGCCATAAGTCTCACAATTTCATTAGCACTCAAAAATCCACCTAAACTACTCAGTTCCGATTAAAAAAAATAAAAATAAATGAAATAATCAAACCAAAAAAGCTCCAGACAAGACCTGTCTTTCTCTCGGCAGCTGAATCAGTCGCGAATTGTTGTAAAAACTCTTGGCAGGCAGATTTTGCTGTAGCAACAGTGTATGACGTTTTAACCACAGCAGAAATCTTATCCAAAAAAAACAAAACAAGGTGAGAAGAGCCATGTAAGAAAATCAGAGAAAACCGTGTCTAAAAAACAACAACTAAACGTAGATTAGGTGGCAGATCAATAGTTTGATATTTTATTATGAATCATAAATCACTGTTTTTTTTCAGCAGTTCAGCTGTGAGGCTTGAGAGCATAAAAAGAAACCATGGCTCGTGATAAAATTAGGCATTAATGTGAGCCATAAATGCCATTTAACATTAAACATGCACAAGCCACTGAAATGCCTGGTAAAGGGAAATGGGCGCTATACTAAAACTATACAAAGTAAGTCGGACATGAATAATGCAGCAGGTCCGAGGAGGGTCACGGGTCAGACTCCGGTACCTTACAAAATAATGAATGCATGTCAGGTTAGAGACATACATCCCTTCCTAGCAAACGTGAGTTATTGGAGATAAACCCTGGACTTCCTGTTCTGAAACAAAGTGGCTTGTTGTAAACAGCTATGTCCATTTAAAATTAATGATTAAAAGAAAGATTCGGTGGGATTTGCTTAAGTATTCTTTATGGACACAAGTGCTAAAGGTTACTTTCTTCATTCATTTTTACCCAGCCACTGTTAATGTTACAGATACATCATGTTTTCTTCTGTGCTCAAATGTTTATCCAAAGCTCATTTACAAAAGGGCTTATATAATATTAAGTGGGGTTTTTTTCAATGCAGTCTTCATTTAAATATAAACAAGAGAGCATCTCCACAGTTTTGCTCCGTTAAAGGGAGCCAGCCCTATTTTTAAAGACAGTAACCCAAATTCTAAATATATGTTCTATGAAAATATTACATGGAAACCCATCTGCGATTCACTTCAGAGTATCCTGATCTGCTGAAATTATCACCTACATCTTCCATATTTTGCCCCAAAAATGCAAAAAGGATTAACCATCCTTTCATTCTTTATTTGATATATGTGATTATGATGACTCTTTTCTTTCATAAATCTTCACAGGGAAAAGAGTCTAACTTTCCAAAATGGGAATCTTTTCCCCATATTTTCAACAATTTTCGCAATTAAAAAGAGTATAATGAAAAATGCTATAGTTTCATTTTATCAGAACTCGTCTGCTTCATTTTATAGATTTAGCTGGAGAATTTTACAGCTGTTCAGAGTGTTTTCCTTCCTTTGCACCCTGTACTGCCAGGCTTCATAATACAACACAAAGAGGGGGATACCTTCTCCAAAGCTATTTATACAAGTCCATGTTTACGGATTTCCTCCCTCCATTTGAGCATGGCAAAGAGAAAACCTCAACTAAAATTAAATTTTAAAATCTTTTTACTTAAGCATCTGAAAGGGGAACGTTTCTAGGGAAGTGGAACTCGAGGCTTTACAGAAAGAAAGCAAATACCTAGGTATTGCAAATGAAACATAAGATCTTGCATCTGATCTGTTAAATATTCCATCAACAAGGTCAAGAGTAAAGACAAGCACAGCCACAAAAATTGAAGTGAGAGTAAGCTTTAATAAAAAAATTGAACAGTTTATCCTCTTCGGCTTCTCAAGTGGAACAACAAATTCTTTTATATTAGAGAAAAATCAAGCATGTATATCGTATTTAAAAAAACACCAATATCAACCATTTTAATGAAAGAGTACCCAATATTTTCGTGGAACTATAAAAGAGAGCGAGACTAAGTGTTATGGCAAAAAGCCTGGGCTCAGCAGCTTTGTGTGGGAAATGGTGAAATGTGACTGTGATTTATAATGAGAAAAGGTATCTACAACATACAATTTTCTACCTAGCTGCAAATAATAATTCATAGTGATGTCCCTTCCAGATAAAATACCTTTGCAATGTAGGACTCATGTGGTAAAATGATCATGATAAATGTCAGACCAGTGCAGGTAACGGCTTTACAAACCATTAAGATTAGCTGGATCTTTTTTTTTGATGATAACAGTAACCATGCTGTGACTCTATGTGGTAATAATATCTCAGTACTGATAAATGCCAGAGCCAGGCAGAGGTGTTTATCATTCTCAGTTCAGAAATGCTGACTAAAGTTACCACGTGTTGCCTGTTTTCTCTTCTTTTACAATAGACTAACAATTAACAAATAGACTGATTCACAAAATAATTTTATGCAAAGTTTCCATGGGTTTTGTGCTTTAGTGCCTATCTAAAGATCTCTTACCCTGTATATCTGTATTGATGACTTTGGTACAGTAAGCCCTAAAACAAAGCTTTTTACCCTTGCCATTCTCTCAATAAATAATCTCTTTGTATATTAATACTGCTCTTCTTAGTTTATTTCTTTTACAAATACACCTTACAAGGAAGCAAAACCTCTGTTATGTAGCTGTTTCTGTAGGGAAGGTGATTACCAAACCAGTATCTGTGTTAATCAACACAGAGCAGAGACATTTCCTTCAAGAGAGCATGGTAAAGTTTTACTGTATGACATTTCTTTGCAAATATTCAGCAATGGACAAACAGGGAGCATTTTCTTCCATTGATTTTTTTTTCCCCTACTTCAGTGTTTCTGTTCCACTCAAGTCCATTGAATTCTCAGGAGAAAATAGATTTAAAAAACAAGTGAGCTGAGCAGCTTTATTTGAGAAGTTTCAGTAAACAACAGTCAGGGCAACCCCAATCTAAATATAACTTATCTGGTAAGATCATAGCATGTATGCACACCAAGCAGCACAAATAAAAAACCCAGAGAATTTGTACCACCTTCCTACAATAAATTCAGTTCTGAAAATTTCATATCATTTTCATTTATAACTTCAGCTATATTTCCACTGGACAGATTGTCCATTGAGCAAAAATAAACAACACAAATGGCTTGTGGCAGAAAACATCAAGGGATGACTGGGTTGCAAGACTGTGAGAGTTTGTGCTGTTCAGAAGTTAAGGTTCTGTATAGGTCAAATCAGAACAAGAGTAAAATACATATCCTTCATTTGTGTGTGACTTCATTATCATTATTGCAAATTGCATGACTTCCTATAGAATAAGTCCATATGAAAGTTTTGGGATTTTGTACTGGCAAATAATACCTATGCATTGACTACTTTGAGATCTTTTCTTTCATATCTATATAAAAGTTCAAATTATAAACAATATAGATATATATACATCTATATCTGTGTGTATGAAATATTAATCTCAACAGGAATTAAGAATACATGCTGAGGAAGGAATATTATCGTAGTAATTTTAATTTTTAAATTCAGTTTGATTGCAGGAATTTTTTGCTTGAAACTTTATTTTGGTGAAATCTTTGAATTAAGGCACTAATCACCATGTATGCTTATGCAGCACCTGCTGCAACTGGGATTCAGTCCTGATTGAGATCTCTGGGTGCTAGGGTAATATGAATATTAAAAAGGAACATATACGAAGAATGATAGGTGATAATTAAATCATAGATGATAAGATCAAAAAAAGTATTCTCAGGTTATCTAGGGCATGTAACATGCAAGATGCTTTCCCTACGTCAGACCTACTGGCACCTTATCTAATCTGTTCCTTAACGGAAGCACAGTTGTACATGACTTTGTTTTAGTTGCAACATCTTATACAAATCGATGAAAATATCAGTCAAACCTTTCCCACGAAACTATGAATCATGCTAAAACAGAAAGCTATATCTTAACAAAAAGGATAGTAATGTTCTTATCACCTCAAAAGAGAGATTAAAGCCCTTAGTACTGCATTCTTTATTATTAATGGTAAGTTTGAAATAGAAATTTTTTCCTGCAGAAATTACAGTTGTGAGATGCTGTAAGTATTATAATATAGCTACAGTGGAATAGTTTCTCAAAATAATTGATCACCAAAAAGCACAACTAAAAAGAACAGCACATCATTTTATGTTTCCAAACATGTTGTGGTGTATTGTTAAAGATACAGATTCATAAATATAGCTGATTTAATTATGGTGAGAAAAAAAAAAAAAAAAAAAAGACAACAAAGTCTACCTGGGAAGTGCATCCATCGCAGATGCTACACCATTGGACAAATGCAATTCCAAAGTGGAATTACATTTAAGATGTGGGTCCCTCACTACTTGGAGATATTTTAGGTTAGGGTGATAATCTAATATTCTAATAAAATAAATGAAAAGCCTGAGAATATAATTCTGTGAAACAGAATATGTTTCCTTAAAATTAAGAGAGAATTTTTAATCCTTGCAAATTACTCTTACTCGCTATTAAGGTGACAAAATGTATGATATATTCTGGTTTTAATCACATAGTCATGATGACTTTTCTTGTCAAGGTACCAGATATAGTACTGGGCAAAATAATGTCTTAATATGGTACTCAAGTGGTTGTTTTCTCTTTTTTTTTTCCCTCTTAGAAATCCAGGACAACGCTACTCGCATCAAATCCATAAGGAACTTGGTAAAAAAGCTCCCTAGACCAAACTATGACACAATGAAAATCCTTTTTGAACACCTAAAAAAGTAAGTAGAACTGTGGTACTAACAGATCAATAATTTTAAAAGGAATCTGTGTGTGGTGTCCTAATCCTATTGGAAATGCCATCCAAAAAAACCCAAAGATAATGATGTCTTTTAGCAAAACTAAGAATGATTTATGGTATCTATGTATATCCCATTCCTGCTCAAGAAATCAGTATGTCTAAGCAAAACTCTGAATTTTCCATCTACTAGAAAGCAGAACAGTTATGTTTCCTTTGAGATGTGGTCAAACACATCAGAATTACTATGCTGCAGGTACATTGAACTGGGCAACTGCAATTTGATTTTACTTTCTCCAGCAACAGACTTTTGGATCACCATGTTTTCACCATTGCAATAACTGCTGTTCAATCATATTGACCATGTGATATGCTGAGGCACACAAAGATAGCAATAACCTCACCCAATAAAATACATTATGAGCTCTTGTACCTCCAAGGAAGCCCATGACAACACAGAACATCTAAGAAGCGCTGAGGAGAGATCTGGAAGTGCACCTTTGCTCTCCTAATGTTCATGAGATACCACAGAGGCAGAAAAATTACACAGTGAGGCACCAACTTATCATTCCTCTGTGGTTTCCACACTCATTGAGCTCCATTTGCAAGAGATGTCAGACGCAGGATCTCATGTTCATCTTGGGCTTTCTTCCTGTGTTTCATGGCATTAACAATAAAGATATACACCATGTGCTCACTCAGAAACCAACCTGCAGCTGGTTGACTTCTGGAATGAAGTGGAAACTTTGCGATAGGGGCACGTGAATGGCAGAATCCTGTTCCTCCCTTCATGGCCATCCTGCTGTTGGGACTAACCTGTGACATTTTGTACAGTCACTTTTCAGCCAAACTACCCTTAAATTTGAAGGGACTAAGTAGGACCCAGGGCCCCATGAAGGCCCTGTGCACAGAGGACTATTTCATCCCAGGAATGATATAATGACTCCAGTGAGGGAGTAATAAAGACTCCAAAAAAAAGACTACTCTAAGCTTATAATGAATGATGACTTTATACTGATCATTTCTGCTGTGTTCTCCTGGTTTATATATATGAGAGGTGTAGATCCTTTATCTTGTTTTGCAGCTTCCAGTTGAAACTGTAAAATGAAGTCCATATAGTCATGGAAATGTCCCCATTTCATTAAGCATGGAAGGATTTTAAACAGTCCATAAAATGACTGAGTTTGGCCTTGCAGAAAAACAGTTTTCTATGTATTCATCTGAGGTACTGTGTGCACACATTCTCTCCTTCAGAGGGTTATCTAGAGAAGGATGATAATTTATTACTGTCAATGGAAGAATAATAAGGGAAATTATTTCCTGGGAAGAACCTGAGTGAAAGAAGTGGGTACATGCTGTCAGCACAGATATGCCATATACAAAATTTACTGTACCATATGTGGCATTGATCCTAACCTGAAAAAGTTTTGTTACCATGTCTTAGGGGAGAGATATCAGGTATACACAATAAGTCTTTGATCTCATAGTTAAATCACTTGATTGAAGCTCAGGAGATGTGGGTTCAGTTCTTGGCTTTGACTGGATGTTCTGGGTGACCTTGGGTAAATCACTTAATCTCTCTGTGCCTTAGTTCCCTGTTTACAAAATGATGATAATACTTCCTTTGTCTGCCTTGGCTTTTTAGAGCATAATCTGTTTGGGACAGCAATTGTTTCCTGCTGTGTATGTGTAGAACAACTGGCAAAACCGGATCAAGACTGGTGGGTTTTGGAGAAAATAAAATAAATAAAAAACAAAACAAAACAAAACACTAAAATACAGACAATAGATGACCAATATTTCGTAATGTATATGTACTCAATACTGGGCTTGACTACAACTTTATAGATATAGTACTACCTAAACAAGCACATGGTCTTACCTAAGTGTCACTGTGGAAAGTGTGGTGAAGCTAAAGGTATACTGACCCAATATAGTGGCACAGAGTGATGGAAGGCAGGAAGATGTGATATTTGAGTCATTTGAGGATCTGAGCATTGTAAGAGCAATCATCTGAGGCTCTCTGAAGGTCAGCCATCTCTGCCATGCATACACATCCTCAGGGAAGGATAGGGCTATTCTGTAAGATTTGCTCCGTTCATATAGAAGCAGCAGTAAAATAGATACTGAAAACACCAAAAAAAAAAAAAAAAAAAGGTAAAAACTGGTATGTTTTCTTGGACTTGTCAATGAAAAAGACAGGGGCCATTCTGAATGGCCTCATGGTTCCATAAATGAAAATAAAGAAGCATACATACATTTTTAGTAAAGACATGATATATATATTATATAAATATAGGCAATATGTGTTTATTTAAATAGCCTAGGAAACAAGGTTAGTTTGCAGTGGTTACGAAACATAGACTTATATCACTTTTAAGGATACACTTCAGAAGAGGAGTGCGAATGTGTATGATGTTCCAACCTCACCACTGACTTTCACCTTGCACCATCCTCTTCAATCACATGGTTTTCTCAGTGTAAATCACAGAAGGTTCAAAAGCTTCCAGTTAGTTGAAAAAAAAAAAAAAAAAAAAAAAAAAAAACAACAAACCAAACTGGTTTGATTTGACGCATATTACTGCAATTTCTGTATTTGCTTATGGAGATGGCTGTTGTTCCCGTTGTTGAACCGGACTTCAAGGGGTTTCTGATGGGGAGAAGCTGAAGGACTGCAGTTCTGCTGTTTCTGTGGCATTCCCCTCTTTCTCCTACCCCTTTCCTTCTTCTCTATCAGACATAAAGGAGAACGAGGCTGTCCAGACCCGGGCCATGGGACTGTGTAAGCCTGAGACTTGCGTACAGCACGTGAGAGCGTATGTCTCACTGACATACAGGAGCTCAGCACGAGAATCCAACCTTCGCCCAGAAGGCTACGCTTATCCTAAATCACTGGCAGCAGCGAGGCTGCACTATGGTTTCCTTCTGCGGCGATCCAGTCTGCAGGAGTAGTTCCAGATCAAGCACAAATAACAATGTGAAATGCACTTCAGAAGGGTTCTCCTTTAGAAACCCAGACAAAGCAGCTGATGAGAGAGTCTGCGAGAAAGGCCTGGCAGCAGGGATTAACACCAGTGCCATATATCTGTCTTAAACCAAGCCCTCTGAAGTTGCAAGAAGTCACAGTGCAGCGTATGAAGCCCACAGGAGGGGGATTAAAAGCAAAGCTTGGCGTTACAGTACCTGTTCTTTTAAGTTTTTTACATTTTATGGGAAAAAAAAAAACAACCTACCAATGTCCCCTGTTCATCTTTGCATGGAATTTATTCTATTCATAAGCAGATGAGACAAAATATGGGGCTGAACAGACATATCACATAGCTCTTGTTAGTCTAATAACGTAAGGAATTGTTCTATTAGGACTCATACTGAAAATAATTGAGCACAACTGCTATTAGGTTATTCATACTTCTTCCTGAAGATAAGCAAATCAAACAAATACACTTTATACATGAAAGAAACAACAAAACCCAATCTGAGTAAGGATTTTCCCAAAGAAAGGGCTACAGAAAACAACCTGTTCTACTTGAACTTGTTTAGAGAATATTTGCTTGCTATATAAAGCCCATATATACTTCTGTCCCACACATTTGTGAAAACAGCATCCCAGTTCCCCAGGACTCCACTCTTCCACGTTGCTCATCTACAAGTGAATTTTACTCCTAAACAGTGAGCTAATCACAGGTAACAGATAAAACCAATATACCTTTCTGGTCCTATTTTGCAGGCATATACAGGACATCAAATGATGCAGAAACCTTGCATTGGGTCTCTGCACAAACGTGAACTGAGCACAGCCAATCCCTATCTGATAAATCATTATTTGTACCCAGTAATTTACTCACAGAATTATAATTCAAGTGAGGCAAAAGGAGCATTTTTCTCCCTAAGGATCCCACAGTATTTTATGATCAGTACCTAACCTGCTTTTACAGCAGCATCTTGAGGAAGCTATTACACACCCATTGGGAAACCGAGGCACAAGAAGTTTAAATGACTTAAAGACTCAGCACAAGCCAGCAATACAATCTAAGAGCCTGAAGGGTTTTTTTTCTTTTGCAGAGAAGCTTCTCCAGCGACTGCAAAATACTTTTTTCCTCCTTAATGCAAAAATGTGGTAGGGGAGAGGAGCACCCTGGCTGGGTCCTCAGCACCACGCTCCGAGCTGGCGAGGGCAGACGCAGCTCTGCTCCAGAAGCTGTGTGCCTGCATTATACAGCACTGTGTCTGAGCTAATAAGCTGTGCTTATTAATGTTAAATTAATGAATCTCAGCCTGCTCTGCTTATTAGGTTGAGCTCCGTGCCACCGCAAGGCAGCTCTGCGACTCCCAGACCCGAGCTGTCTCACATCTGACCAGGCTGGAGCTCAGGGCAGCCAAGCTCCAGTCTGTCTTTACCCATCCATGTAGACACCCCTGTGAAGGGATATATTACAGACAAAACCCCTCTCATTGCTTATTTTCCCGCACAAAGGCAGGATAACACATGTTATTTACAAAAGTATAAAATGGATGTTGAAATAATTAAATGGGAAGACAAGGGCCAGCCTGACGTTACCATCCCTCTCCCTTACGTGGAAAGCACTGAACCCAGATGCCCAACTGTGGAAGATATTCTTCCAGCAGCAGCATCTGCCTCCTTGGCAGGCACTTCAGGCAAGTTGTCTGGGGAGCTCTGCAGTTGCCTCTTGGTTTATCACGTGGATCCGTTACTGTGGCCTATCTGGCTGCCTTGTCCGGGCAGAAGCCAATTCCTTTTCATTCACCTTTGAATCCAAGAAACTCCATTTATTTTGCTCCATTTTTCCCGTACTATACATAGCATGGCAAGACATTTTCAGATGCCATTCAGGCTTCCTGCCCTTTCAGAGAGAGAATGATAATTTTCTTCCTGGTTGCCTTCCCCCCTGCCCAAATTCTTCATTCTTACTAGTAATTGTTTGTTTGCATCAATTTCACTGGAAATAAGCTCCTCATCAAGAG